GGGGAGGACATGCCCCTCCATGCATCGCCAATTTCTGAGAGGTCTCTCTCACTGCATCTGGTATTTATTCATTTAAAAAAAACAAACAAAACAAAAAAAAAAAACCCACTGTCTCGTGCCATTAATTCTTCACTACTAGAAAGGCTTTGATAATATAAAATTATTGGCTCATAGGGGAATAGGGCTGAAAAGGACCTCACAGGTCATCTAGACCAGCCACCCACTCAAGGCAATTTGCATTCTGCTATGAAAAAGTTACAAAAATGTTCATGCTTTCCCTCCTGTTCTGACCATATCTACTTTTCTTTTTTTCCAATATCTATGGGATCTCTTTTCCCCTTGCTCTCCAGTGCCCAAGCCAATTGAATTTATATTTCTCTTCTCAGTTATATTAAGTTTTGCATGTATGTAATTAGGCCATTAACTTGAACGGAAACATATGTATTATTTGTGCTTTTCTGCATTTTTTAGAACTCAAAGAACTTGCAAAACAGTAATAGCTTACATTGTCTCTACTCTTATCACTGAGCTTAAAAAAAAAAAAAAAAATCAGTAAAAACAAGGATTTTTTTTGAGATACATAGAATTTTAAAATACATTAATAGGCTGAAGGTGAGGCAACCTTGCATTCCTGCTATCTTTCTAATAATATCAAAGGAAAACCAAGTATAAGAAATCAGTTCAGATACATTGTTAACCACAGTACAGTTTTTACTAATGCAGTAGAAACATTTCTGCAATGTGAGAACAATTATATGCTATAAAAATATACTGCTTTCAAAAAAATCACTTCTTTCTAAAATCCAACTGACAATCCTCGTCACAGGGAGCAGGCATGAGTTGGATGGCTGATGCAGAAAGGAACATCTACCCAGTACATGTTTAAAAAAAAAAAAATACAAACCCCCCCATATAAACTACTTTTTGACTCCTATCAATGAAGGCCCCAAGGATGATTATATCTATCCATGTATCTATATATTAGTGGTATTTCATTTTAATCATGGAAAGATGTGGATTTTTGGGTTACTTTTTTTTTAAACCAAAAATTGGGGATTTTTTTTAATCAGGGAAAGCCAGGATCCCTGATGATTATAAATATAATAGATCATAACAATTACTAAAATGACATGGGTTGCTTCTGAAAATGTTATTGTTTGTTTTTTATTTCTTATTCTCAAGATTTGTGCCACTGGCTACAGTGGACTCATTCAGGTAAGTGATACTCAGTGCAAAGAGCTTCAGAACATGGCCTAATTTAAGTACTAGGAAGGAGACTACCTATGGATACTGAAAGTAGTTACCATTAGACAGATAAGTATCTGAATAAACTATATTTATGAAATCTGGAACAAAATTTGCTTAGTTGTTCACTAAAAAGTAAGTGCAAGGTAAACTGCAAAAACATCCATGAATTATTATTGTGCACTTTGCGGGCAAGCCTGATTTTATAGTTATTTGTTCATACAGACCCATCAAGAAATCAGATGCTGACGATTAGGGCAAGTTTTATTCCAACTTATGGTAATGTCTTAAACCTCTCCATATGTTAGCTTCACTTTTTCTGGAGATTTCAATGCTCACATGGGTTCTGACAGCCATTCCAACTCTCCAAGAGTAGTAGGTGATTAAACCTAGGACATAAGAAATAAGGAAGTAAGGAATGGCTGGACAGTGAAAATCCATTAAGTCCCACCTTCCCCCTTTGACTTTTCATTTTAATCTCATATTCTTCTTCTTAGTGAAACAATTTGCATTAGGATAAATTAAACCTGGGTATCTTTTCATTACATTAAATATTCTAATAAAACGTTAAAATGTCCTTCCTTATAAACTGAAATCTCTCAGTTACATTTTTATCCTGCCACAGAAATAGTGGTCAGTATTGAACAAAATAAGAAATCTAATGAATCAATTATATAATTTAAAACAGATTATTTTTTCCTTGTTTTGAATCTTCCCAATATGTCTGCCTATACCACAGAAATCAAATTTTAGCCATAATAATGGGTGAGGACTTAAAAGGATTTTCTTTTAATATATTCTTACCAATTCTTTGTTTGATAAGCATGTTTAATTATCTGTGGACCCTCCTCTTTTTAGTATATTTCATATTTAATGTTTATTTATAATATGATACATATTTCATGAATTGTCCCTCTTACTTAAAATTATCCAATCCCCCTGGTTTAATTATATTTGCATTATTAAATAGATCTTTAGACTATCAGACAACTTGGATATCCAGCAATTGACATCAATTTCTGGTAGCTGTAATCAGTGAAACTTGACAATATTTACATGTAGGCAAGTAAAACTGATGTGCAAACCTGCATTCAGAACCAATTTTTAGCCATAAACAACTAACAGTGATTTTTATGCAAAACAGACTGATGTTCTAACATTAACAAGCTGTCATTAGCTGTTAACAATTTAATAGCCATATAGTCTCTTCTTCTGTGAGATTGCTTGCTGTCCCACAAACTATTCTAGTGCATTCTCTCTTATTTCTACCAATTATCTCAGATGTTGGAATATTAAAATATCATCCTTTAAAAAAAAAAACCAAAAACCCAAGTATGAAGTATTGTCAAGCATACATTGTATATCCTTTGCTTCAACGATCTTTCCAGTTTTGAATTAGGCCTTATGGGGCTGTTTTCAAATCTTCCATATGCAGAATGCCAATTGATGCTCCATAAAAAGGGGTTAGCAAGTTAGTAATGTTTCAGAATGATAATTTTTAATTTACAGATTTAGATTTAATAGAATATTGGTATTAAAAACAAGTTATACAAGTATGACTTTTCTCTGTGGATGACAGGACTAGGAGCAATGGCCTCAAACTGTAACAGAGGAAAGTTATTTTAAGCATTAGAACAGGTTACCTAGAGAAGTTTTAGAATCTCCATCCCCAGATATTTTCTACAGCAGGTTAGACACACACTTGGCTGGGACAGTTTAGTCAGAGTTGATCTTGCCGTAAGCAGGAGGCTAGGCTGGATGACCTGGTGGGGTCCCTTCCAGCTTTACTAGGTTCCTATGATGTTCCTCTACTCAGTCTAGACAAGCCCTTATAAATCACTGTCTTTGGTATTATATCCTTCTTTTTTCCTTTGAAGTTTTGCAGAATCAATCTTCTTTAATAAAACCAGAAACAAATTCACTACAACAACTTTATAAGCTTTGTATGTACCTATCTATTTTCAGTCAACTAGTCTATTTTCAATGACCACTGGGATATTTTTACTTTCATTTTAAGGTGTTGGCTTTGAACTACAAAACCTTGAATGGCTTGAGGGTGCTTTTCAGTCTGCGTCATGCTGTTACAGCTAAGTTGGAGCAAAGGTCCTTCAAGCTTCTCCTTCTCCCCTCAAGGAGACTGCCGGCAGAGCATTTGTGTAGGACTCGTATCCCTTCAAATGCTGTTTTGCAAGGCTTAGAAAAGTCTGAATCTGCTGACCTTTTGTGTACCTAGTTGAGCAGCCATTGGCATATGCCTGAAGAAGTGGGAAAGCATGATGGGAGGTTTCAAACTGTATTGATCACAGCTGTTCACATCTAGTGATTAAATGATGTGTAGTCAGGTAAGAGTGTTGCTGTATTGGTCAATTTTTATCTTCTATCTCCTGGCCTTGAATTTTTTTGTTTGTTTGTTTCTTTGATAAACGTCAGCAGACTTTATTCATCCTTGGGGATCTTGGTTTTCTT